TTCACTTTAAATACAACAAACACTTCAACTAAAACTTCAACTATTATTTGAATGTCTATCACCTTACTAGATAACTTCGTGTATATAATAAAAAGGTCAAGCACTCAGAAATTCTAAACTTTTGACTTGACTTTCGTCCACCTGAATTGGTGATTTTGTCGTGGATGCGTCGCGAAAGCGGAGGTTAACGGAGGTAGAAGTGGATATATAAAGAAAAAAGTATCATTATTCATTCGTCGAATAAAAAATACATGTGGGTGATCTAAACTAATGAGAGGCAGCACATTCTCTTTCAGTTTTCAAAATCTAAAAAATCATTGGTGAAAATATGTACCTATATTTACTTTCCTAAGCATTTATGATGGGCAAAACTTCAGAAACAACCTAATAGATGTAACATTCACAGAAAAATTTGTTTCAGTGCATTTCATAAGTATACAATAAACCTGTACGTCCAAAGAACTAAGTAATAAAAACGTCAGCAGTTGCACATATGCACATTGCAGATATTTTTTACGGTTGTCTGATTATGAATTTCGGAGCGGAACTGAAATATTCATCTAGAACTAGTGGATTAGAATTTGGCACTCGAACTGTTTTCATTAAAATTTTATAGGTGTATATAAATCATGACAGAAAATGCTATGGAGAAATATTGGCAGAGTAAATGTCAATAACGAGACTTAAAGTACTTACTGTATAATGCATTCCGTTGCGAAAAACATATATGAATTGTTGAAACACCCTCTGTTTGATCTATCAGAACTACTTTGGATTTTATTTAATTTACTAATTTTATAGTCTATCTAGAATTGTTCGCTCTTCCTTCAACAGAGGTTCTATTAGCTTTACGTTAAGTCCTTCATTAGTTCGGACTTCCATTGTCTAATATGATATGAATTGATTTGAAATCCCTGAAAAAAATCTGTAAAAAAATCTAAACAAAATAAAAAAAAGGATTAGCTGAAAAATAAACTTATATTAGGCAAAGAGATGAAATTGAAAAATTATGAACAAAAAATGAAGAATTTAAAATTAAAAGATTCCAAACCAAGTTACTACACGACGTTTCGAGTGTTAGTATCCACAATCGTCTTCGGGTGATAACTGGACTTCCTCCGAGATCTGACTACTTATAGATCATTCGAGTGCTTTCATCTATCCCTTCCTTCATCTCTCCGCTTCATCAGTTTTGGCGGAAGCTGACCGTTTGGGAAGTTGGTTGTGTTCCGCTTGATTAGAAGTTTCCATATGTTGCGTATCTCTACGCTAGTTTAGCTAAATGCGTTGTTAGATAACATATAGGCGGCTTCTTTGAATTTTCTCCTAAACCAGTGTTCCTCCTTGTGGATGATTTCAGCTTGAGCCCACTTGATGTTATGTTGATGAGTCCAAACATGATCTGCTATTCCTGATTTGCTGGTTTCTCCTCGCTGTATGTGTTTCTTGTGCTCGGCAATGCGAACTTTCAATGACCTCATAGTTTCACCGATGTATGATTCTCCGCACTAGCAGGGTATCTGGTGAATGCAATTCTTGGAATCGCAGTCCGCGTTGGGTGGCCTGTTTTTCGTGAGGCTGCTACGGATAGTGTTCCCAGATCTGAAGCAGCTTCTGATGTTAAACTTGAACCCAATCCTTCTTATCCTTTTCGACAATCCGCTGATGTAGGGGAGTACAAGTACTGGTTGAGGCGGCTTCTCTTCCTAGTGGAGCTCTTGCTGTCTTCTAGCTAAAGCCTGTTCTACCATCACTCTGGAGTAACCATTTCGTTGAAGGTCGTTTTTGATGATGCCTAGTTCCCTTTCGAGACCTTCCTTTGTATTACAGATCCGGAAAGCACGGTCTAGTAGAGTCTTGATGATTCATCTCTTACTCTATTGATGGTGGTTGGAATCCTGATTCATATACTGTCACGTGTGAGTGGGTTTTCGATATACAGATGTTTCCCATTTAGTGTCGGTCCTCTTCACCAATACGTCTAAGAATGACAATTCGATGTGGACTTCTTTCTCCATTATGGAAGTGATGGAAGGACTTACGTTGTTGATGTGCTTCAGGAAGGTGTCTAGTTCTGCATTCCCATGGTTCCATATTATGAAGGTGTCGTCCACGTATCTCATCCAGACTCGGGGTTTCTTGTGGGCTTCTTCAATGGCCAGAGTTTCAAACCACTCCATATATATGTTGGCTATGACTGGTGAAAGTGGCGATCCCATTGGCAGTCCCTCATCTTGTTTGAAACCCTCATCTTTTACAGATTTTTTCAGGGAATTCAAATCATTTTATATAATATCAGACAATGAAAGTCCGAACTAATAACAGGCTTCGAATGTGTCGCATTTGGCTAGAATGCATCATTTAAGTGTTTTAGAACACTAAAAGTTCAGAAAGGTAGAGGGACTAAAGAAAATATCCGGAACTCGATCCCCAATGAACAAAAAATCAATAATGTTGTCATTCCTTATATGTCATCACTTATATGATTAGAATGATTACAAATTGCTAGAAGTTTACTACACATTTTATGGTACATTTTCATTAATTCTTATGCTCGTTTACCTGATGAATTTCCTGATCTTTCGTACCTTAATAAATAGTTTTCTATTGTATAATGCTGTAACAATTATCTGTGAAAATGAAACATGGCTTAGTTCAGTTGATACCTAATATTCTACCGTTTACAAAGGCATTTACTTCATCATAAAAAAACCAAGAGAGCACAGCATATTTTCCGCCACTTGTCTCTAGGATGACGCACCGGCATTTTTAAAATCAAACATTTGTTTCAAAACAAAACATATTCATAACAAAACATGTTAATTGAACGAACGTTATTTTTGTGGTGGAAAATCAGTTTTTCATCGACCTTTTTTGGGTATTTTCACCTTCCATTAGAATTTTCTTATTTTTAAGATTGTGGAAAGTACCCAAAAAACGTCGATGAAAACTTGCATAAATATATATGAAACACTTTAGTCAGCATAAATTTTACAATAATACAGTTTGTTTGTAATTTCAGAGCCTATTTCAAAAAACTATAAACAGAACCTTTTAAATTGACATTGACAACGTCTAATCAGGGTTAAAATATCACGTCTAATCAGGGTTAAAATATCAGAAACACTAAATATTGAAAATTATTCTACTTTGACATATTTTAGTATAAAATGAGTTTGGAATAATCACTGAATTACAGTTGAAGAAACAAAACCCAAGTTGCAATTGAATATTAAAACCCACACATGGAGCAATATCCTAATTCACTAATGAATTCCATAATAAAGATATTATCAGAAAAGTATTGAAACCTATCAAATATCGAGTCAAATAACAGATGAGAACCGCAGCAATTCAGTTGATACTATTTCAGTAATATTCCTGATGATAGACAGGTTTCTATTTGGGATTATCAGATATATCACGATAAGTACTCCATATATGATTGATTTGCTTATCATTACACAAATACAAAGAAATGCGAGAGATAAATGCTATACCTCAATAAATACATTCATACAAAATAGGCACATACAGAAAAATTATCGACAAAAAATTCGCTCTGATGTCTAGCTCAAAAGTCACCTCAGGGAAACCACCAGTAAATATATTCAACATTCAGTTGAAATATGTTTGACCCAAAACAATGGTAAAATGAAATAGTACACAAGAGTGCAGATTTACTTATTTCGCAAATGTTCAAGTGTCAGTCAAAAGGTGATTGACCTTCTACTCACCTGGGATCGGGTAGAACGATTTTTTTGCTAGCTCTCGCAGCTGGGGTGCATTTGCTTTTTTCCATAGCCATAAGATAGCTGACATCAGCTAGTACAGCTTCCAGGTCCGCCATTTTGCAGTTTCACTTCACTTTTTAGCTCAAATAAACATTATATTTTCCACCCTACACTTCACCACCAAAATCACACCCGTCTACCGGTCATTATAATATCGAGACGGCTATGAAGTGACATAATAAATGACTCAAAGTCAACAAGTCTACCACATTAAAATTTTTGAAGTTCCGACCCTGGATCATGAGAATTTTGACGTTTATTCGACACGGAGCTCGCGAAAATTGAATACCGACTGATTTTGGTGGTGAACTAGTGGATTCCTACGGCGCAGTTCGATGCTTTCCGTATTAACGGACCAGCTGTTTTATCGCAGACAGCTGATTTTCGTACCACCAACGATGTGGCTGAAATACCCTAAAGTAGTGTTTCATGTCAGGTTAGAGTTCGAGAAATTAAAAAACTTGAGAAAAATTGATATATTATAAAAAGAATCGTTATTTTATGCATCTTATTTTTTTTAATCTTATAATGTATACTGTTTTCATTAAAATTGAAGGCACTACTCTTACCTTTATTTTGGTATCCCTAGCTCAGTGTTGCTAACAATATTAATTTGTCCCTAGATTTACTGATTTTTCATTCGTTCCCAAGTTTTTCAATTTTACATACTTTTCTACATATGTTTTGAAAATATTTCCAATTCACTTACTTTCGAGCATAACTTCATTCCGTGCATTTGTTGTCTTAGTTATTATTTGAAACCAGAACACCATTCATAACTTACCAAAATTTTTAACTTCATAGGTATCTTTGACAGATTTTCAACATGAACTGATTCATTTTCAACCACTGAACTACTAGTTAGCTGGTGATTCTACACAACAGTTTTTTTATTACTGATTACTAAAATATCTTTGCTGAATACTCCTACTGGGTAGTATTCTTCGATAAACTATCTACGTACCTACATTATTTTGAGGAAGGAATGCCTCTTTTATATTTTCCAAAATCACCGATCATTTCATAAGTTGAAATGTATAAAATTTTCTACAGAATTTTGTTGATTGATATAGTGATTACTATGGGTTTTTAAAGACATTTCTACAATATACTGTATATAAAAGTTAGCAACACTGTACCAGCTGTCATAGCAGGCCAATCAAGAGTGTTCATTGTCGAATGAATTAAACGTCAATGTCAAATATGTCAATATTCTGCCTAACCTATAATATATGTACAGCTTTTTACGAGTATGTTACAAAAAATAATGAATTTCTATGTGTTTTATAACTTTTTCTCTAAAAGAAGTCGATAAAAATATTCGAACCTTAATACTCCTTGCAGAATAAATAAATTCTGTAAGTATCTTTAGATTTCAGTCATTGGATTATGTCGTCTAGGAGGTGATTTTTCATTCAGAGAATAATGTTATGATACAAAATGACTAAGAGAATCATTTTGAGAGAAAGGCTTAGAAAAACCATACAGATATTCTGATAAGTATATAATGCTCATTTGAATTTCACTTCTGTATAAACCATAATATCGGTTATGGTTGTTGAATCTGAGAAAAAACCTGCAAAAATTCCAGATAATGGCAATGTAGGGGGTTCTGGTGCAAGTGGCAGTGGCAGACTTAGGAGTACTACTGAAGGGGACAAAATGGAAACTGATGAATGAATAAATATTTTGAGAAAAATAGAAATTGGCCTTATTTTTCCAACAGACCTTGAACATACTCAATGAAAATCCATAACGTTTTCAGGAAGCACTTCATTGTGAAACTTAGTTGAAATAAAATGTTTTTTCAATAAGATATTGATGAATATAATTTTTCAGTTGTTTGATTGAATGAGATGCCTGAATTCAATATTGACTTGAAAATAATGATAGACCTATGACATTTTATTATAACCAGAATTAACGCTGAACTTTTTTTTTTCAGAACCCAGTTTTTTGTTACCTGGATGCTTGAAAAATCTAGAAGATATTTTGTTAATGTTCAATGCTAAGATCTTGTCTAGAACATGGAACGTCTCCTGTGATACCCATTAACTGCTTATAAACTTATTTTTGGTATTTTGAGTAAAAGTTCAGGCTTTGATTGGATAATGTTGGGATGAAAAACACCTGAGTTTTCAACATCACTTCAAAAAGGATAACATTAGAACTACCGAAGACAGGCAGTAGTCAAATCAATAAAAAATGTTTGAGAATGTAGACAGCTCTGAAATTTTCTCCAAGCTTCTATCAAAAATTGGAAATATATTCCATGGACGTTCGGTGGGAGATCAGAGTATTTTGAGTAAATGTTTGGATGACCTCAACTCTTTGAATTATAAATATCCAGTGGTTAAAAATCCTACGGTAGATAACTTCAACTACAACTAACCTTGATGATTCATTGTTGTGTTTTATTTCAGACAGCTGTCCTCTTGATCAATCAGTGTTGCAGTTTAATTCCAACAGATGACAAAATACCAGTGGAGAAATGCAGCAAACTCTTATGGAATCTTAGTCAGCAAAATATCAACGTGGAAGGTAGAACTCTGATGGTTGCAATTCAGTGGTGCCTGAGTTGTCTCAGAAATGAAAATAAGGACATTTTTTTCAATATACTGCAGGCTATGGAGGCCTTGTTGCGGAATAATGCACCCAACACTCCAACAGTAAGAAGTGAATTATAATACAGGAATTGGTTAAAAACTGTTTCTCATTTTTGGGAAAGGAAGGTTTTTGGCTTTATACGTTTCTATCTTCATGCAAAAAAGATGTAGGAATCTTCCAAAGAAAGGGAGAAAGCAACTAGTTGCAGACACGAACTAGAAAAAAATACCCTTTCCAAACAACTAATTTCATATAAACATTGAATTACACCAAAGAAAAAATACTATTTAAACAAATACTCATAAATGAACATTGAATTATGCAAAAAAAAACTTTTCTCTGTTCAGTTTGTATTCCAAACATTTCTTGAGGAGTGGAATCTGATATCATTCACAGGATTGCCACACAATATAGTATATGAGGTCAAATTTCATCTTTTATCATTATCAATGAGTAGGGAACATAGCCAAGTTGGGCTAAAAAAATTTTTTTTATAAAACTTCATTTCATTATTCAATATAGTTGCCTTTGAGGGTGATACAATTTTTCAATACCATTTTGCTTGTACGATTTGGTTCAGCCTCAAAATAGGCCTTTCTTTCAACGGTAACCTTTTCATCGGCACTAAATTTCTTTCCAGCGAGCGATCTCTTGAGATCTGAGAACAGGAAAAAGCCGCTGGGGTCCAGATTTCGTCCTTCAAAGGCTCCAATAACCCTATGTTATAGTCGATGTTGTTGGTTTTCCTTTTTCAAGATAGTCGATAAATATTGTACATTCCAAAATACAAGCCACTCAGATGACGATCGTTTTGATTCTGGTGTGAAATGATGGAGCCATGTTTCATCCATTTAGAGCCTCAGCTATCTCGATCAACCTCACTTTGCAATCATCCAAAATTTTTTGTGCACTTTTTATGTTTTCTAACAACCTTTTTGGGGCATCCACTGCATGCATCCTCCTTGGTGCTCCTGGTTCAAAGTCCGAATCATGTTTATCAAGTCAAGCCTTGGCTTCAACAGTTTTTTTTTGCCAAAAAGAAATGATTTATCAACACAAAAAATTCATTTTTATCCATTTTCTTGAAACTCACAAAAGTTGCTTCACTCAAAGTGTTCTCTGCCACAAAATATTTGTCAGGCAGCTGTGAAATTTATGTAGGAGTCTTTTGAAGGTTAGGTTAGAATACATTTGGTACTAGTAGCGACATCTGTGTGTTAAACTTCGAACTTTTCAGCCCATCTAGTATATGTATTATGAATAATCTGGCCCATTACTTAATGAAATCACTATAGAATTTTCATAATAAATTTTATTTATGATGCTTTTTGCTATACGGTAGCTTGATCACTTAGACTGATATGAATTTAATGTGAAAATTCTATGGTTATTATCATGGATAGTACCTAATATATGTATGTATAACTAACTGTCTTTTTCAGATTGTTGAAATTGCCTCAAAAGAAATAAAAAATTTCGTTTTGAACAGACAAGAAATGTGTTGTCCAGAAGTGATTTTGATGGCTTTACAGTGCCTTGAAGCCTGCACTTTAGTCAAGTCTCTTGATAAAAATCCTCACTTACAGCTCTGCGCCGAAACATTCATTTTCCAACTGGAAAGAAAGTATACTTGTAAAACAAATTTAACAGAAGACAAGGTAAGTAATTTCTTGTACTTTCATTTTTACGAATATTAAAACTGTTTGTTTGTCTGTTGTTAGGATTATATTCATGTTGTTGTTTTTCTAGGAACCTTCCAACATGGCTTTCGACAAGTTACATTCACAATTTCTGCCATTGCAGAGTTATGCTCGCATGTTTATGATCATATGAACTCGAAGGATTCTTCAATCACTCTTTTCTTTGATTTGAGTAAAGCATTTGATACAGTACACCACTGTCCCCTTTTTGAAAAACTTTACCATGTTGGTGTTAGAGGAACATTACACAATTGTATAATATCGTATCTTAAAGGTTGTAAACAAATAGTCATGTTGGAAAATTTTAAATCCAAAGGAAAAATTGTCAATGTCGGGGTACCCCAAGGATCAATACAAGGTCCAATACTGTACACTATCTTTGTCAATGACATTAATTTATCATGCACACAAGGAAAAAATATCTAAACAGATGGCATGACAACAATAATATAATAATAATAATATCGCAAAATACTTCTAGTTTTCATGCCTCTCACTGATAAACTAAACATGCTAACCACATAAAAATGCTACCAACAAAAAAAAAACAAAAAAACGCTAATTGAATAATAATAATAATAATAATAACAATTTTTATTGGTCTCAAGAAACATAAAGTTTGTAGACAGGTCAGTAGAAAAATACATTTAAAAATTTACATAAGGTCATACATTAAAATTGGTTAATGATAAAAAAATTGAAGGTATAACGCAATAGAAAAGATAAATAATACATAAAAACAATGGCATTATATATTATAAATATATAAAGTATGTATATAGATAATGATGAATTGTGCTATCAGTATAAATAAAACTACAGGTTTCTGTGGGTCATGAAGATATTTCTGTTTTTCTTGATGAATGTTTCGAATTCAAGTATACTATAGAAACAGTTATTGGATAGTATCTGTTTTAATTGATTTTTGAATTGCGTCGAGGGTCTATTCCTAAACTCTGTGGGAAGAAGGTTGAAGAGCCGTATGTCGTCTCTTTGCGTTCGTTGCAGACGACATAATGGCACCAACAAATTGTGTTTGTGTCTGGTATCATGAGGGTGAATTGACGAGAGTGTTGCATGTTCATTTATCTTTGACTTAACTGTTATTATACTTTGATAAATGAGCAGTGAGTAGATGGTCATGATTTTTAATGAAGGAAATAGTTCTCTACAACTGGTATCCCATGGTACATTTAAAATAGATCTTTCTGCAATGTGAAAATTCTCGTAATATGTGTAGGTACTGCATTACCGTAACACTGTATTCCATACATCAAGTGACTATAAAACAATGCATAATACGCAGATACTGTTGCTTCCATGTTTGTGACATGTCGTATTTTTCTTAGTGCAAATATCATTTGCGACAGCTTGTTACATAAACAGTTTATATGGGCTGTCCACCGCAGTTGTGGGTCTAAAACTATACCTAGAAATTTTATGTGCTCATTTTCAACCAAACTATTTGTACCATTTACACTAAAGATTTCACAATAAGAGCATTGAAAAGGTAGTGTACTGGAGTAGTGAGAAAAAACGAGCTGAACCAATCATGTGCTCTTCCTCTAATGCCGAGTGCCCAGTGTTTGTCTAGTAGCCGATTGTGTGGTACACAATCAAAGGCTTTGCTCAAGTCACAGAATACTCCAATTTGACATTTTCTTTTGTCAAGCTCTTCCAGAATATTGTTTATAGTCTCAGTTGCAGCTGTAGTAGTTGACCGTGCTTTTCTGAATCCATGCTGTACCTGAAATAACTATGTATTTCCTCGTTTTTGATCATACTGCCTGTGGAAATTTCTTCATGAAAAAATACAGTTTTTGTTCATACCATTCTGAAAAAGTTTATCTTTTTAGGTGATACAAATTTGTTTGTTTGGACTTCAAAATATAATGAGTACAAAAGGACAGGATTATCTGAAAAGTGAACTGGGACTTCTACTGGGGTTTGTTAAATCATTTATGCTTTATGGTATAGAGGGGATAGACTTTTTACCACCCCAAAAGTTGATGCCATCTGCATTTAGTGTTCCAGAGCAAGCCCCAGCTTCAAATCATAAGAAAGGAGGAAAGGTTTGTATTGTAAACTTTTGAACTACTACATTGACATTATAGTCAATAAGGAAAATTTAGGCAGATCATGGAAACATGAAGTATTCCCAGCAGGGCATTTGTGTGAAAATAAGACACACCACAAACACAAGGGGCCCACCGTAGCTTACTACAACCATAGCTTACTACCGTGGAAGCTACGGCGTCTAGAAATTTAAATGTTTATAAGAATTGTGTAATTGTTGTCATGGATTGCTAAATTATATACAGGTTTCATCAGGGGTACCGCAGGGATCCCATATGGGCCCACTGCTGTTCAACTTGTTTGTATCGGACATAGAGTTTGTTTTCAAATATACAGAATTTTTATGTTTGCGGATGATCTCAAACTTTATCGAGTAATTACTTGCTTGGAAGATGCTGAATTAGTTCAAAAAGATCTCGAAGCTTTTCCATGTGGTGTAAAAATGATTTGTTAAAGGTAAACATCGATAGGTGTCAAATCATTACGTTNCATGGTTCTTTATATATATAATCTGCAAATCTGCAATTCTCTCAACAAACTAAAACCAAAACTCACAAGCGGATATTAGTGAAAAATGTTTTAAAAAAATGATAGGATTGTTTGAGGTAACATTCGTGTCTTCATATGATTGTAGGGGTGGAGAATATGCACTTTCAAAAAATTGTGCAAATGCATTAACGATTTCGGAGGTATTTGTTGTATTCAACATCGTCCCAGAATAGAATACTAGGAATTCTTGATGTGCCTTTCTTATTTTGAATGTACGACCAGAAATTGGTAGGATCTTCTTTGATTGCCCTTTCAGATTTATTTTCATATTCTCTGTAAGCTAAGTTGATTTTTGTTTTGATGGATCGACGAAGAGATCGGAATTCTTCTTTAAGAATACCTGAGTCTGTAGTTTTCAGTTTCCTAAAAATTTTATTTTTTCTTTTAATATCGTTGATTATTTCATTATTGAACCAGGGAGGATATTTTCTAATGAAGTTGTGACTAACCGGAACACACTGACTAATAATTGGGGTTAATAATGAATAGAATAATTCTGTGGCTGTGGCTGTACAATGGTCGATATGTGACCAATCAACATTCTGCATTAGAGTATATAAAAGTGGAAAATTGGCTTTATGAAAGTTATACCTGCTTTCTGATGAGGTTATATGGTTGTTCTGGTGATGAGAATTCCAAAATTATGTTCAGTGCTGGGTGATAGCCATCTTCGGTTAGAAGGTGTAGTTTATCGTGGGATACAGAGTATTGAAAATTAGATAAGACAAGGTCAAGTAAACGATTTGAAATATTAGGCAGAGAATTGAATTGGTTTAGATCATAAAAACTATTGAATTGATGGAGATTGTCCAAGTTGTGATTCCGATTTATGAGATATTCGTTTGAATTGAATTTGGTATATTGAAATAACCTGTAATGAGAAATTTGTTATCGTATAAACATTCAAGTGACTCTAGAGTTTCAAATAATTTCAGAATATGAGCTTCGCTAGTACTTGGAGGTATGTAAATCCCAAACATGAAAAATATATTGTGCTTGAATGTAATCTTACAACCTATGGCATCAATAGTTGAGAAGTTACCCTCGAATTCAGAAAGATCAATTTTAACACCCTGACAGTCATCTCTCACTGCTAACAGAACACCACCACCCCTAAATACGGAGTATGCTTCGAGGTTTCTGTCTTTTCTGAAGACCACATAATTATCAGTAAAGAGTTCCGAATTGTAAACGTTGGATTGGATCCAGGATTCTGCGATGGCAATGATATGGAAATCGGTTCCAGAGATAGATTTGTAAAACCCAATAAACCCAAAAAACATTAAGAAAAATCAACTTACTGTTTCGAAAATCAATTTGAACACATGCAAAAATATATCAAACTTGAAAGCGGACATTGTGAAAAAATAAAACAGTTTGTTCAAAAAAAAAATTTTTTTCCTACTGTTTGTAAGAATTCAAAGGATGACCCTCGAAAGAAAATGAAATGACTGTAGAATATTTTGTTGCAGCTCACAAAATATAGGAGACACAGGTCATCAGGTGTGCATAAAAAAGAAATACTCAATGCGGAAGAGTCTCATTTTAATAATTCAGATTACATTCCTGCTAACCCTATATTCGAAAACATTTCAGGAATTGAACCTAGGTGAGTTTTTGACATTCATATTGTTTCGAAACCATAAATGATATATTTTCAGTAATACCTTTCTTGAAGACAGACTGAAAACCAGTGACTCAGATTTTTCCGATAATGAAGCTGGTAGGCATTCGAAAGTGCGTCAAATGAAAGCAAGAGTTCGATTGGTAGCATTGAACTTATTTTATACTATTGTTAAGGTAAATCTTACCACTAAATATCTTAAATGACACGGAAGTTGCTTCCTTACTAACTGCACACTCTTTTCTAGAATACTGAAAAAAACGCCTTTCTTTCGTATTGGTCTCATTTTATACCAGAAGATAGTGGGTCAAGTCAGCATAATTTAGTCATCTGTATTCTCAAAGATCATTCTTTCAAAAGCAGGATGGCAGCTTTGAATGTGCTTTTGTTACTTCTAACTTCTTCAAAAATGTTTTTGTCGCAAGCAGAATTCAGGTAAGTTACATAAGAGGTCTGTTCAAGGAATAAGGTGTATAAGCGTTACTTTGAAAGGGACAATATATAGAAATCGATGAATAAATAAATATTTTTTCGAGAAAAATGAAAATTCACCCTATCCTTGAAGAGACCTCGTATAATTGAAGGAGATGTGAACGTTTATAATACGGCTTTTCAACAATACATTGATTTTTTCAAATGAAATACACCTAAACCATTTTCACACCAGAATTTTGCTCATTGAAGGCTTAACCCTCCATAGGTCGCGCCACTATTTGTAACATAGTAGGTCGCGGTGGTCTACGAAAC